TTCCTATAGGTCCATTACCAACAGGGCAAAAATAAACCATGGCATCACAGAACATACCATTGTTTTGGTTGAGGGTAAGCATTTCTCCTAGTTTGGATAAGAATTAACAGAATCTAAAAGGGAATGAACACCTAGACTATCTTAAAATCACGAACTAGAGCAGGGTTTCTGAGTCTTGGCACTGTTGGCATTTGGGGCCAGATATTTCTTGGTTGTGGGGGGCTGTTCTGTACACTGTAGGATGCTTAGCGGAGTCCCTGGCCTCTACCACCGGGTGCCAGTAACAACATTTCCTCTCCTCCCCCCCAAGTCGTGACAATAAAAAATGTCTCCAGAGAATGCCAAAATTTCCCTGGTGGGCAAAACTGCCCATAGGTTGAGAACCACTGGAATAGAGCCATTTAAGGAGTTCCCAGTCTGGGCTTCTGTCAACCTCACATTGTACAATCTCAACCCATAAATCATTCCCAACCCAGTGTTTAATAAATTTATCTTCCATTTTCTCACCTATTAATTGGAGATAATGAGAGTGTCTGCCTGCCTCATAGGAGCCTTGTGAGCATTAAATGAGATAATACTTGTAAAAGTGCTTAAAACAGTGCCTGACACACAGTAAGTGCTCAATAAATGTTAGCCATCATTGTTGTTAATAATCACCCATGGTATCAAGAAAAGCAGTATCAACTGGAGTGTTTTAATGCAGAAAGGTATCTTACCAGCTTGATATTTTCTGAGTCTTAAACACACCAGCCTTCTGATTCCTTGTGATGATGTCTCTCACATCTATAGGACACAGTTAAGAAAGCTCCTGCAGCAATTGTCAACTGACTCAAAAAAAGGCCCACAAACACAGTGATCTTTTTATTTTACATGGGATCAGCACAGTGAAAAGAGCTGTAGGGTGTGAGGCAGGAGAAGGGTAAAACCCTGGCTCTACCACCGAATGCTGACTTGCCACAGCAAGCTCTTTGAATTCCCTAGGCTGCAGATTTGTCACCTGTGAAACATACATTCATGCAGCATCATGGCAAGGCCCAGAGTTATGGGTGCTGGTGGGGAACAGCTGTTCCATAAGTGCCATGCTCCACTTGCTTAAAAGTGCAAGGAGTCCAAAGGCAAGCCTCTTTCAGTCAGTGGGCAGGGCCATGTCAGTCTTCTAAGACTTTCCAAGATGAAGTGTTTCCAGTGTCCTAAATGCTAGTAGGGAGGGTGGGATAAGCAACAGGGAGAGACTTGGGAAGAAGTGAGAAGAAAAAGATGGAGACAAGCTTGGAGAATTTTTGAGAGAAAAATTACTGAAGAAAAAAGTCAATTCAGTGAAAAGTCTCCTGAAGAACTGTCTTTATAGACTTATGCTTTGGCCATTGGCCATTGGCCATTTGCATGTAAGGACTCGTACAAAAGAGCCATATTTATGGAAGAGATATTTTGAGGAGCTGGTTCATCACATCGCACAGCACCATCTTTACAGGGGCCCATGGGAAAAACCATCAGGTTTCAACACTAGAACAAGGTGGACTGCAGATCAACTGACATTGCTTCAATTCCTGGGCACTATAAATCTTACAGCTGTTCCTGTTTCTCTCTTTGCACTGGCCTCTGTGCAACACAGAGCCAAATGTGTACGACCTAATTCTAACAACCACAAGAGCTCCTATGGCATATATTTTTTGTACTGAAGTCCATTCATGGCTTCATCATATTTTCCTGGCCTTCTAATTTCCAATCGCCCTCACTTTCTCATTTATTTTATATGGTATATTCTAGTGTCACCATAAGAAGCCTCAAAATCCCTCTTTTGGAATAAGGCAGGTTTAAATAAACAAGAAATAAAATAATTCCAGTGAAGGCTACAAGCTGAACTAAATTGGGCCCATGGGGAGGACACCAAACAGACAAGCGATACTCTCCTATCGCTCAGAAAAACAGATTTCCTGAGTGCTCAAAGTAAGCCTTGGCCAAGATCTCCTTGCAAGAACAGAGCCACAGGACTTTTTAACCCAAATCTCTGCTTGAACCGCCAGGCACACCCATTTCTTCCCTGAGTGAATAAGCAGGTACTGTGATAGCTTTCTTCCCCCCAGGAGTGGGTAGGAAAATCAATTAGGTCTCCTAATGAAGGGCTTTGTTGAGGTTTACAAAAGTGCTATAATGCAGACTTTTTTTTTCCTGGGTGAACTTTCCTGTATGCAAATTAAATACCGTTAAATTACATTCATTAAAAAAATAAAAGAGACTAATTTGCCTACTTGTTTTGATTAACTAAAATGACACATCGGCCTACAGTTCTGTCTATTTCAGGAAGAAAGTATTTCAGGAAAGTCTTCTAAATGAAATGTCTTGCAGAACAGGACAGCTGACATCTTTATTCTGAGAAGAACAGAATTAGTAGAGTCAACTGACAACTGTTTTTGATTAAGTTCCCCCACACTCTGGCCACACCCTACTCAGAGTTTCCATGGCATCCAACCGCACGCCATAATGTGCCAGGTACACCTGTGGCGTCGTGTGAGTACATGACTAATCTGTCAAGCAAAACATATTATTTTGTTAGTGGAGGTAATACTTTTTATAAAATAGTCACAAGGAAGTTAAATTATATAACTCAGAAAGCCTATTAATAATTTTTAGTAAACATCTTAACACTATATACTTTTATACAATTTATAAACCAGTAACTCCAGGTGGTCAGGCTGAAGCAAGCATATGTATTTATATTGCAGAAGCAATGTTTTTTAATAAAAAAAAATTCACAGCAGTATTTAGGCTGCTTTATTTTTAGAACTGGGCAGGAAATATACTTTGTGGTTTAGGAGGGTTTTTTAATATTAAAACAAGTACAAAGAGAAAAAAATGGCAATAGTATTATTAAATATTACCTTAAGAGATAAATTCTGATATCCTGCTCCCCACCCTTTACTTCAGGTCAGATTTTGATGGTTCTTCTGGATGGCACTGTGTCTAATAATAGATTTTATCATACTTCTGTGTCACCTCAGGGCAATAAAGGAAATCCAATCAAATTGAGTCAATATGTCCAGGATAGTGTTCAACATGGAAGACCAAATTGTATTCTCTGAACTGCACCCACCTCCTGGAAGACTTCTTTAGGAGGGGCTGGGTGCGAGGAAAGCCTTAATATGATTTCTGATTAAACGAATACAGAGCACTCATCTCCAATCTGGGCAACTGGACTTCCAGAGCTATCGGATATATGCTTGTGGCTAAAAGGAAACCAGAATTCAATCTCTAGATTTTCTTCTCAAATAAAGCACAGTTCAGGAGTGGGGTTCCATTTCAATTTTGTTTCAGTTGATTTTTATTCTTAAAAAATATATTTTTATATAATAATCATTTAAACAAATTATATATGTATATAACATACTGTTTAAAATATTAGCCTCCTCCTGCAATTAGTGATCATTATATTTATCAATAGCTGCATATACATTTTGAGAGTTGGCATTGTTCTTTATGCAAGAAAATATTTAAAAAGTAATAACAGTATGATTCACAAAACACTACTTTCTTGGTTTACATTGTCTTTATTTTCATTACAGCAACGAAAATGAGGGTAGGAAACTACGAGATTATAATATAAATCTTATTCATTTTGATCTCTAAAGGTTTTTTAAAAAATGCTTGATGTGATAATATTTGCTAATTTAAGGCTGCAAAATATTCTTACATGTGCTTATTACTCAAATGAATTGAGAGGATGACGTAGAGGTAGTACGAACTCTCTATTAGCAATGCCAACTCTTACATTTATGGATGAGAGAACTTTTATTCCTGGGGTTGCTGAGGAAATGCAAGATGACATTCACCAAATCATTTTAGCTTTTGGTGAAACAGAATAGTTTAATAGGAAAAAACATAAGCTTTGAAGTCGGATGAACTTGGCTTCTAGTGCTGGTTCCGATACTTGGTAGCTGTGTGTCCTTGGGTAAATTAACATCTCTGAGCTCCTGTTTCTCTAAAACAGGAATTATGATACTTATTGTACAGGCCCAATGTACTATCACAAATGATGGGCCTGACACATAGTAGGTGCCTAATTCATGTCAATTCATTACCTTTTTAATAATCCCGGCAAAAGCTTTGGTGGGATGAAGAGGCTGGTGATAGTAACTAAAATGAGGTCTGGCAGTTAAACTTTATTTTCTTTCCAGGCTGCTCAGAACTAATTTATGTTGTAGAATTTAAATAAGTAGAAGGAATCAAAGAACTTCTGCCCTGTAGTTTTTTAGTGTCTTTCACATGTATAAATGTGTTCTAGCCAAGGCAAAATCTGTGTCCCACAAGGACAGAGACGAGGTCTGTCTTGTTCACTGCTGTATCTTTAGCATCTGGAATCGCATGCCATTGCTACTGGTTTAATTGATTTTAACTTAATTTTAAAAGATATTTCTTGAGCTCCTAACCAATATAAGGCACACAGAGTTCCCTTAGGACTCATTTAGTAGCTGGAAGCACAGTCGGCATAGACATTGGAGGAAGGGGCCTGGATGCAGGAAGAGCGCCTGGGTTCCCAAGCTGTCAGCCACCCACAGCACAGGCTGCAGGATCCACATGGAGCTTCATTTATTAATTACTCAAGTCAGGGACTCTGTTAAATAAAAGTAATGTCAAGCCAGAGATAGCTCTTTTGAAAAGCACAGGAGATTTACCAATTTGGGGAGAATCCTAAGCTCAAGATCATGATCCAGATCATGTATACTGTGGGGATGAGATGCTTAGGTCAAGGACACAGAGAAATGGGTCACCAGGTATTGGAATCTTCTGCAGAGAACATGCTAGATGTCTACTAAGGATGAGTCAAGGCAGGGTGCTTGTGCTGGGTAAATTAGTGATTGTAGCCAGAGAGGGTTGTTCACCTTTAGGAGTTCTAATTTTATTCAATATAATTGGAAGAGGCTTAGCATCAATAATAACTCAGTATACTACTTCTCTCCCTTATTCTTATGTCATTGTCATCACCAGCTACAAACCTTATTGAGTATTTATTATTATATATGTGGGCGGTTGCAGATTTCTTTCTTTATTGCACTAAAAGGGCAACGCCAAAGAAAAAGGATCATATTTCACACTATTTTAGAATAAATTTGAGAACTGAATACACCAAATGACCCTATTTCTAATTTATCTTTTGTCTCTTGGGGTACAGACAAAATGTCATTTCTAGGGAGATGTGGCTCTCAGGAAGCAGGCTCTGGGTTAGACCCAGAAATGCAGTTTAAGGACCAAGGAAAACCTTAGGGGAAACTGCCCATAAGTCTGAGAAAATATTCAGGACTTACAAAATCCATTTCTACGTCAAGTCTTAATCTCTTTACAGACATCTCTGTTTAATAAATCTTAGATCAACATCTAGCTTTTCAGAGTCAAAGTAGAGAGTTTGAGAAGACATAAGCAATCCATTCGATACATTTTGGGGAGATAATAAATAACCTCACAACTGGTTTACATGCTTCTGTGATATAAAGATTCAGAACTAATCCATTCATTGCCTCACATATTAAAAAAAAGAAATAATAGAAAATTAAAAGGAAATATCAGAAAATGCCATTTTTTTAAAAAGGTGAAAATCAGAAGCTTTGAAGCTTAAGAGACTAAGAAGACTCAGTTGGATTCATTAAATTCAGAAGCCAAGAGCAACAAAAATTATTTTCAAAATGATGAGAATAATATACAGGCCAATACTCAGATGTGATGTGCCATTGCCAGGTCGATTTTCAATTACACTTCGCTGATGTATTCATTTGTTTCTTAATGTGCTCATCTTGCCCATTAGGAATAATTAGCAGCTTTGCTTAGAGATTTTCTGGCTTCTGGCAATGTTTCTCCCCCTTTTTTTGTTGACATCCACTTTTACTTTTTAGAAAGTAATTTTTGATTAATATCCTACAACTGCTATATAATTTAGGCTTCCTAAAATTTTAAAGGAAAGCTGTAAACAGTAATTTTTAAATGAGTTTGTTTCGATCTATATGCATCAATAGTGTGTGATTCAATGAATTACTTATTCTTACAGAAAGTGGGCACACAAATAGAAAAAAAAATTCATTCATATTAACCTCAGTCAGTAAAACAGATTACAACGAATGCCAATTGTAAGCTCTGTCAGCAAATCAAGAATAACATTAGTATTAAAAGCAGGAAAAACACATTGCCAATTTTAAGGCTTTAAGCATGCTTTTTTCTCTTAATTAAAAAAAAATTAGATCTAGTTACAACAGAAAAAGGCACACAAACATAGAACGACTGCATGATAAAAACTGAACTCCATCAGGAAAGTCCTAAGAGATGAAATAAAACACACTACCAGTTTTGGTCTGCATCCTGAAAGGACCTACTTTATCTACATTGTAAAGTTCTTCCCCTCCTGCCCTTTGGCACCCCGCTATATTAAACCCATTGTAAAACCTAGCACAATAAAGCACTCTCAGGGCTGAGCTTCTGAGGACCAAATGTTAAAAATCCATTTTCTTGGGAGGGGGCTGTACCAATCATTTCTTTGAAAGGCCGGCAGAATGAATACAGAATCTGAGATTTCCTCTCTGATTTCAAGAGCCGGCATGGCATCTTTGCTGCTTAAAGCAAAGGTGCATATTAATTAATGACATTAGGATTGCCTCCCTTCTTTGGAAGCGCTGTAGTTTAGCTCAATAATAAATTTAGTATGATTAAATTTACATATGACTACAGATGTTTCCCATAGTTTGATAAAAGTTCTAATTGGTTTCTGATGCTTTTAAATGAGACACCTGCTGACTCGAGAGAAACCTCAGGTTACTAGGCCCAATCTAAAAGTTTCTGTGGCTAACATAACCTCCTCTTGTTCAATAATCCTGGTCCTCATCCCCCCACAAAAAACATCCACTGGGGCTGAGCTAGCATACCTGAGCTTCTTCTTGCTGTCTGTATTCCCTGACATAAAGAGGAGGAGCGCAGGGAAATGATACATGCACGGAATAACTCAGAATAAAGCAGAGTGAATGAAACAACATCAGCTCATCTTCAGGAATATTTTGAAAAACTTGCGACAGTCTCAAGATCATGATTAAAATCCTGCATTTTAAAAAAGGAAGCACCTTTTGTGATCTCTTTCCCTTGTGTGAAAGGCCAAGATTGTGATTGGCTGTTTCTCCTTCCTGAATTTTTTTTTTTTTTTAAGTCTGTCAGGCAATTAGCTGGGTGGGGCTCTGTAGAGCACACAAGTGCTGCTGAACAATATTAGCTACTGTGTGTCTGGTACCTCCTTTCTCCTGTGCAAGCAGCCTGATGGAGCTGCAGCAAATTTTATTTTCAAAAAAAATTATATAGCAGACGGAGAAAAAGAAAATTGAAAATAGGTTTTATGTAAGATGCCACAAAAATCAAAACTGCTTTGGCATTTTAGGGGCTTAAAATTCAAATAAGTAGACTGTCTCCCTCATAATGTCAATGTAAGGCACACCAAAAAAATTCAAAGCAAACATATCTTCTAGTTTTGCTCTCAGTTCTTAACAGCTGTTAACTGCCCCTGAACAAATCAGCTCAACTGCTAAAGTAGCCACAAATTATGCTTGCTTTCTTAAAGTACAGTTCAATTTTCATGAACTCTGTGTACATATTAGTAAAGCATAATCGAATATAATGGAGTTTGAACTGTAATAGCATAGCAGAAAAAAGAGATAGCTTTTGTAATCCTAAATAAAAGGAAGAACTGATAGCTGTGTCCAGTGGGGGACATAGGTAACTCCTCGGCAATTAGAGTAGGGACAATATCACACGGTACATACAGTATCAAATACATAAAAGGAAATAACAAACATGAAGCTGGAAGTTAATATTTACAAGCAATATCCAATCTAATAAATACTAAATAATTTATTTTATACTGTCAAATTTCCATGGAAATAAAAGAGCAAGAATGCTTGAAAATTATTATGAAACAAATTTTCTTATTGCCTTGAGAGGTCCACAAAACACAGGCTCTTTGAATGAGAAGTGTTTATAAAAATCTATCGAAAGGAAAGAAAAACATGTAGTAGAATGCAATGAATTCATATATTTCTACTTTTTCTTAATTACTTATCGTGTGTACGTGGGGGGGAAACTCTCTTTTAATGCCCCATGCTGGCTGTCTTTATACCAATTGTTACTCAGCCGGGAAAAAGGAATGAGCACAACAAACCCATTTTCTATCAGAATAAGGATACTTCTGATGGCCTTTTCATTCCCATCAGTTAACAGAACTTCTTTGACATCTGCAGAAATAGCAACCTGAAAAAAAAAGGGAGCACAGCAAACAATGAGCAAATATGCTTGTCTGTGTGGAAGTGAAGACAGGAGTGACAAGCCTTCAGTATCATGCTTCCTCACCTATTTCTCTGTAACAATCTTCAATCTTTTTTCATTTTATGTCTGCATTATTTTAATCATTCAATCAAATCAGTCAATACTTTTATCATTCCATTTGCGGGAGCCTCTATCTTGCTATCATTCTGTTCGGTAATTGCATTGTGACAGCGGATGATGGTATTCTGAGAGGCTTTCATTTGTGGGCTTCTGTTTATCTAGTAGAGCCATCATACAAGGCTGTCACTCTGCCTTTCAGCTTGCTTCTGTCTGACTGCCTGATGCCCTTCATATAACTTTGCATTGCAGGCAGATGGCTTTGTGAGGGTAATTTTTTTGTGAGCTTTGACATGCTCGCACATTGGGCTGTAACCTCGACACATTGTATAAGAGCGACAGGTTTGTCAAATGCCAATCAGTGTAACAATATGCTTTTATTTGTAGAGACATAAAAACTTGTCTAATGCACTGTGCTGCTACATAATATCTCCTGAATACATGACTCAGAACCCAGAGAATGGGGAACGACGTTCCTGAATGGCCAATCTAATTCAAAAGAATCTAATTACTGAGCGCTCTGGATCATGTTTGTTGGTGTAATAATGCAGGCAAAACATTAGCAGCTATATCATGGTGCTCCAACTGTGATTCGCCGGGCTATTCCTGTATCTTAGCAAATGGGACTATAATCTGAAAAAAAAAAATGCTTTCACTATGGCAAAGAAAGACCGTGCGAGGCCTGGAATGTCACAACAAGCGATATTGACTACACTGAGGTAAAATGTTTCTGCTCATCGAGGCAACCATAAAATCAATATGATCCGAAAGTAAGTCAATCTAGAAGGTCTCTCAAGACCCAGCAGCTTGACCGCAGCTGATGCTGTTGACGGTTCTCTGACCCAGCAGTTGGAGGCCCTGGAACATTTTTCCTTTTGTTCCTCCCTCTGAATGGGATTGGAATTGAGAAAAGACCTACCATGAGCCCAGCCAAGCATGTCATGCCACCCCCTAGCTCACACACAGCAAGGTCCCTGAAAGAGAGAAAAGAAATGGTAGAACCCATACAAATTAGATGAAAATGGTCAGCGAGATATATATGTTACAAGAACAAATTGCCATCTGCAGTAAGAACGGCACTACCAGGAAGTTGTAGAGACACGACTAGGCTACCTCATGTCGTTTTGCGTTTTAAAAATAATTATGAAATAGAAAAGTCCCAAAGCAGGCAAATCAGTGGGGGTTCCCTCATTAGTGTTCACTGCAACATTACCACCGCTGAGCTGAAAAATCTGAGAAGGTTCCCTTTTTTTCCCTTGTCAATGGCGCTGTCTTTTAGAACTAAACTAGCTAGAGTAGCGAAAGATAATTGTTAGGAAAGGATAACACTGTTAATCCACATTCATTCCTTCAAAAACAGTTAGACAAGTAAATGAAGAATATATATGAGTGTGTATATACCTATATTATGGTCACACACACACAACACATACACACACACAAATAAATGCAATCCTGAATTTTTTTTTTAAATTCTAAAACAAACAGAAACATTTTGGAAAGCTGAACTGCCCCCATAAAGAAAATTACACAAAGAGCATTTAGCAATTAACAGTTAAATCACAAATGACCCCAACACAACATAGTGAGTAAACAATGCAGGGATATAACATGGGTAAGCCAGCAAACCCGGGCTAAAGTAATGACTGGGCTCTGACTTTACTGCTCAAAAGTAAAGCAGCTCAGAGTTAAAGCTGACAGTCTAGCATGGCACTCTGCATTTACCTTCCCCTTTGTGCCTAAATATCAGCCCTCAACGTGTGACACTCTCACCCTGGCCCACGGCTCGCTGATTGGAGCTCCGGTCAAGCTTAAGCACAGCGAGATGAGCAAATGCCAGACTTCCAGGGCAGCTCTGCGGCTCAAAATCAAAATTGCCCTGTACTTATTTTATATGCTTAGGTCTTAAGATTGTTTCTTCTTCCCAGTTCGGGAAGTTTATTACCTCAAGAGGAGAAAAAAAGCAAAATTAAACAGGAAGGAGAGGTGGGAAGAGGAGCTAGGAGAGGAGAAGCAGCCAAGCAAAGACATCCATATTTTGAAATACACTTAATGAGTGTTTAGTTGTTCAAAGCAACTGTAGACTAGTTGGTAAATATGGACCCTAGAGCTTCAAAAAATACATATCATTGACCCAATCTTGTAAGTACATGTTGTTAAAACACACACCATGATCACTAATGGCTTATCTGGAATCATAATGTGCTGTTCAGGAAGTACCAATTGGATGACCTTTATAAAATGAGAATTAAAATGAAAAACCTATTTTTTTCTGGGTCTACCAAACATTTGTAGAATTTGCAAATAAAATCAGTATTTTTCTTTTTCTTAAATCTCACCCATGGGTTTGATCTATAATACACACTAACAGTTGAAAACATTTATTTCCGTAGCATGAATCTGTAATAGTAATTTCTATTTCACAAATACATATTGTTAAGTATATAAAAATACCTTTAAAACCAGGGGTGGGATGACATCTTTAAATAATAGCTGTGAGGTATTTATTTATCAAATATTCTGTAGTGACTTCCCTAGCAGAAGTTGAAAGAATGTCTTTATTGTTTTTTTTTAACCTTCACAATCAGTAAGGATTGATTGGAGCTTCACTTTTGTTTCCCCAAAATCAAAGTGAAATAAAATGCCTTGAGTGGAAATCAAAAGCCTTTGACATCTAGCAAAAAGCTTGCTGTGCAATATTAGAACCCAAAGGCAATTCAGATTTCTTTTCAGAAGCAACATGTGTTCACTATGAACTTTTTTTCCTTTCTTTCTATTTTCCTTTCCTCTTTTCTTTTCTTTCTTTCTTTCTGCCTTTCTTCCTTTCTTTCTTTCTTACAACTTAATTTGAAGAATGTAAACATGGCAATTTTTAATATGTAGATTCAATATCTATGATGGGATAAAAATATCTTTTAGGTGCAACTCTGTACCTGAACATATTACTGTGCTTGAGGCAGTAGTAAGCCAAAACCTCTTCAGATGGCCAGATGCCTAGAAAACACAAGAGGGTAGACTTTATGAGTATAGAAGTTATTCTCTTAAGAAACAGCTTTTAAAAATAATGTTCAGTACAAGCTATTTCAACTTGAATCAAATTTAACATAGTTATTACTTGTAATATGTCATACCACATGAGTTTTTGTTGTTGCTGCTGTCGTCATTTTTATAATGGTGATGTTTATAACCCTTTTCCCCAAGATAACAGTAAAATATCCTAAATAAATTTTATTTTATTTTATTTTTTTTTTGAGACAGAGTCTCACTCTTTTCCCCGGGCTACAGTGAGTGCCGTGGGGTCAGCCTAGCTCGCAGCAACCTCAAACTCCTGGGCTCAAGCGATCCTCCTGCCTCAGTAGCTGGGACTACAGGCATGCGCCACTATGCCTGGCTAATTTCTCTATATAGTTTTAGTTGCCCAATTAATTTCTTTCTATTTTTAGTAGAGATGGGGTCTCGCTCTAGCTCAGGCTGGTTTGGAACTCCTGAGCTCAAACGATCCACCCACCTCGGCCTCCCAGAGAGCTAGGATTACAGGCATGAGCCACCGCGCCCAGCCTCTAAATAAATTTTATTAAGTTTCAATCACAACAAGATAGCAAAAACAATAACAACTGAAATTGCACATATCAAAAGTTAAATATTGATGGTATTTCAGGTAGATCTTAATCTTGTTCCCATAAAATTAATAAGCATCAGTTGAAGACCTATTATATATGCTGCTCATGTTAGGTAAAAATAGATGGAAAAATTACTTATAGGAGCAAATGAAACCACTGAGGTCATCATACCTTTTTGCTTGATTTTATACTAATGTTTTAAAATATGCATAATTATTTCCTTTCTTCAATTAAAAAATCAAACTGGAATATAAAATTAAGAAATTTTAATTTCACCAACTTCAACACATCTTTAAATTTAACAATAATCCTATCCATTAATTTGCATGAATGGGCACTTTCTAAAATTATCATCTGTAAATCATTTATTTAGAAGACTTAATCTTCATGAATGGATATGAATTCCTTAAAGAGAAGATAAACATGCTTGGAAATCATATTTTCTAGTGGTTATCACGGGGTGGCAGGACTACAAGTGCTTTTAATTTTTTCTTTATCTTTTTTGTATTTTCCAAAATTTTTACAATGAGTATGTATTACTCTTTTTTTTTTATTTTTATTTTTTACAGACAGGGACTCACTCTGTTGCCTAGGCTGGAGTGTAGTGGTGTGATCATAGCTCACTGCAACCTCCAATTCCTGGGCTCAAGCGATCGTCCTGCCTCAGTCTTCCCCATCCCCCACCCCTGCCATTAGCTGGGACTACAGATGCACTCCACCATGCCTGGCTAATTAAAAAAAATTTTTTTGTAGAGATGGGGTCTCACTATGTTGCCCAGGCTGGTCTCAAACTCCTGGTCTCAAAGGATCTTGCCACCTCAGCCTCCCAAAGTATTGGGATTACTGGCTTGAGCCACCGTGCCCGGCTATGTATTATTCTTAAAATCAGAATAAACTATAACATTATAAAAATTATGTTTTCCCCAAGGATCAGACCTAAAGATCAGGCAGGGCACCCAGCATCCTGCATTGCCTGAGGCTGAGAATGCCATGCAGTCCTCGCAAAGAGCAGCAAATATTCTGACTCAACACCAAGCACTCCCCTGATGGGTCTTGATGCAAAGTTGAAACATCTAAAGAAGGCTTAATTTTTCCCCCAAGATGAATCTCCAACTTCAAGGAGTAAGAAATCTGAACATTTCAGAGAAAAGGATGTTAAAGAAATGTTAAGTAAAATCCTAAGAGATTCAGTGGGTAAAGATATGAACAGCAAAGAGGTGACTCCATAGAGGCATTTGCTGCAGGTATACGCTACACCTCAGCCTCTCTGGCATTTCTGGTAGAAAGAAGGAAAGTCAGCAAGAAGTGTTTGGAGTCATATTTAGGAGGAAAAGTCAGAGAGGCAGTGGAGTACAGAAGTTAAAATCATAGGTACTTTGGAACCAAACTCACTGGGCTCTAGTCCCAGCTCTGCCATTCCCTAGCTGAGTGACCTTGGACCGGTTACTTAACCTCTCTGTGTCTCAGGCTCCAAATCTTTAAAATATCAACCTTATAGTATCAACCTTATAGGACTGTCACGAGGATTAAATGAACCAAACATATGCAATGTGTTCAGAATAGTTTCTAACTCATAATAAACTCAAAGAAAAAGAAAGTTGTTATTAATGTTATTCTGCAAAAGGGGGCAGAAGAATAAAAGAGAGAAAATGTGAACTCAGAATAATTATCCAAATACCCAGAAGAGATGGAGAACCATTTTGACCTGAGCTTTGGCATGACCCTAAAGTCCATATACCCGGCATATCTCCACATAAAAAGAACACCATGAAGACCAAAGTACATAATAAAATTCTCTGAAAGAAGAGCCTAAATCAGTGTTCTACACCAAGTGGATATAATCACCACAATAATGAATTTTTTTATGCCTTTAGTAGACGGTTTTGAGGTTTTAAAAAAATAATGATAGGGAAAGAGTGTTTAACTAAAATTTAAGCCTTGATTAAGTACAAAAATGTAACTTCTGAAGTGCATAGTCTTTTGAAATAGTTTTATAATTTTCCCCAAAAATTATAAAGGCCAACGGCTGATTTTTAACAAAATTAAATACAAAAAAAGACAAAGAACGAAGTAAAAAAAAAAAAATCACCTAAAATTCCACCACTAGCATATAATCACTGTTAATATTTTAGACCGCATTCCACAAAATCTTTCTAGGCATAAAGATATTTTACACAAAGGGGATCTTTACATGCAGATATTCAATAATCTGATTTTGCCACACTCAATATATGGTAGACAGGTTCAAACGACAATAAAAACATACTCTACCTGCATCATTATTTATAATGATTGCCTAGAATTCATTTAACCAGTTTCCTCTTGATAGACATTTAAGTTAGTTTCGAAGTTTTTTATATTATGAGATTATACAGAGTGGTACAATGAAGACGTATCTTTTCCCAACATACGGTTTTCTCCTTAGGTCAATAACCTAGAATGGGATATCTGGTCAGAGGTTAAGTATATTTCATATTATAATATACTGAACTGTCGTCCATAAAATGTGTACCCACCTACATCCTCAATAAGTTTGTTTCCTTAAAGCCTTGCCAAGATAGGATTTTGTCAACCTATTTCATTTTTGCTAATCTGTTAAGTTTTTAAAAGTTTCTCAGTGAAAATCAAAACCAAAATAAGATGCCACTTACACCCACTGCAGTTAAACGAATGTTGTTGAGGATGTGGAAAAATTGGAACCCTCATCCACCGCTGGTAGGAATGTAAAATGATGCCAGCCACTTTGGAAAACTATCTGGCAGGTCCTCAAAATGATAAATATAGATAGCAACATGATTCAGCAATTCCACTCCCAGGCATACACCCAGGAAAAATCAAAACATGTCCACACAGAAACTTGTACATGAATGCTCATAGCAGCATTATTCTTAATAGCCAAAAAGTGGAAACAACCCAATGTCCATTAATTGATGAACAAATAAATAAAATGAGGTATATATCCATACAGGGAACAATTATTTGACAATAAAAAAAGTACTGATACATGCTGCAACATGGATGGAACTTGAAAATATTACACAGACATACCTTGTTTTATTGCACTTTATTGTGCTTTACAGATATTGTGTTTTTTTACAAATTGAAAATTTGTGGCAACCATACATCAAGCAAGTCCATCAGTGCTATTTTTCCAACAGCATGTGCTCACTTAGTGTCTCTGTGTCACATTTTGGTAACTCTTGCAATACTGCAAACTTTTTAATTATTATTATATCTGTTATGGTGATCTATGGTCAATGATATAGCTATTGTAATTGTTTTGAGGCACCACGAACCATGCCCATATAAGATAGCAAACTTAATCTATAAATGTTGTGGGTGTTCTACTCCACTGGCTGGTCATTCCCCTGTCCTTCTCTCTCTCCTCAGGTCTCCCTATTCCCTGAGACACAATAATATTGAAATTAAGCCAATTAATAATCTTACAATGGCCTCTAAATGTTCAAGTGAAAGGAAAAGTTGTACATCTCTCACTTTAAATCAAAAGCTAGAAATGATGAAGCTTCGCAAGGAAGGTATGTTGAAAGCTGAGACAGGCTGAAAGCTATGCCTCTTGCACCGAACAGTCAAGTTGTGAATGCAAAGGAAAAGTTCTTGAAGGAAATTAAAAGTGCTACTCCAGTGAACACACAAATAATAAGAAAGTGAAACATTGTAGATAGGGAGAAAGTCTTAGTGGTCTGGATAGAAGATCAAACCAGCCACAACTTTCCCTTAAGCCAAAGCCTAATCCAGAGCAAGGCTCTAACTCTTCAATTCTATGAAGCTGAGAGAGGTGAAAAAGCTGCAGAAAAAAAGTCTGAAGCTAGCAGAAGTACAAGGTGAAGCAGCAAGTGCTGATGGAGAAGCTGCATCGAGGTATCCAGAAGATCTAGCTAAGATCGCTGATGAAGGTGGTTACACTAAACAACAGATTTCCAGTGTAGATGAAATGGCCTTCTATTGGGAGAAGATGCCACCTGGGACTTTCACAGCTAGAAAGGAGAAGTCAATGCCTGGCTTCAAAGCTTCAGAGGAGAAGCTGATAGGGGCTAATGCAGCTGGTGACTTTAAATTGATGCCAATGCTCATTCATTATTCTGAAAACCCTAGGGCTAAATGATGTTAAATCTCCTCTACCTGTGCTCTACCAATGGAACAATAGAGCACATCTGTTTACAGCATGGTTTACTGAGTATTTTAAGCCCACTCTTGAGGCCTTCTGCTCAGGAATAAAGATTCCTTTCAAAATATTACTGCTCATTGACAATGCACCTGGTCACCCATGAGCTCTGATGGAGATGTACAAGATTAATGTTGTTTTCATGCCTGCTAGCATGACATCCATTCTGTAGCCCGTGGATCAAGGAGTAG